TTGAGGGTAAGTGATTTTACTAAATAAAATTAATATTAAATTTAGTATTAATATCAATATCAAAAATTACATATTACTATAATATCCATCATAATTTTCATATATTAAGGAGCTCAGAGACCTGGAAGCACTCGTAAAATGATTGGATCACCTAGACAACTTGAAAATGCAGCTCCTACTAGTAAGAATCCTCATGGTGTTTGGGTTTAACTCTTTTGTTACCTAATCAAAATTGTTAACCCTAAAAAGTATTTAAATGATTGTTTTTAAGTATTGTGTGCATTAAGAGCCATGTTTAAATTGTAAATTATACATTTGAATAGCCAATAAGGTTTATAATTAATAATAATTGCACATCACACAATTTTTATTTTATTTTTTCTTTTACCAAAGCAAAAATGTAATTCTAAATATGGAAGTTAATTTCTAGAGCTGGGCTGATAATACTTTTTTAAGATATCCTGATATACAACCAATCTAATTATTTTCTTAAATCCATAATCTAATATAATGTGACACGTAAAAAATATTAATTAACTATTTATAATCAATATTTAATAATAAATTAATTAATGATTTCTATAATGTATTTAAAAATAGAATTATTGTTATAACCACCGCCATTATGTACCAATCGGTATACAATTGTAACTTCCATAATATCTGTTTTAATAACTGCTTAAAAAAACTGCACCTAACCCAATTACTGATAGTATCATTAAAACTGACCAATATTTATATTGGCTATCAGTACCATCCCAGTCCTATTAATTTTTTTTTTTAATTTGATCTCTTTATAATATATTACATTTTAAATTTAAGTCAATGCTACAATTGTTTTGTTTTTTTGTTCAGCTCAAATAATTTAGGATAGGAATTTCTCTCTTTGTTTAAGTTATCTAGTAATTTCATTTCATTTTATATATTTTAAAATAATGCATACAAGTATTATCAATATTTAAAATCAATAGCATCATTGTCTCCATTAAATTATACGATAAGTTCATAACTTAAATTAATAAGTCAATAATATGTTTTTATTGTTCTGTTTTCTCATTTTTGTTGTTGATTATATCGTTGAAATGTACATATTTATTTCCATTCTATTAATGTTTTTTTTATTAATTTTCAATGACTATTTTTAATTTTTTTAAATAATTTTTCATTTATTAAATATATTGTATTGTCATACATTTAGTGCCACTGAAATTTTATCTTTCATATTGTGAGTATAATATTAATCTATGAGAGCAGTTTTCATTGTTATTTTATTAGCTTTTAATATTATTAAATTGAATATTGAAATGTATTTAAAAAATATTTATTATGTTTAATGGCTGTTTTAATGTTTATTTTTAATGTTATTGAACAATTTTTGTTATTATGAAAGTATTAATTACATTTTTTAGTTAAGTTAAAATGTGTGTTCAAGAATATTTTGAAATTAGTCTTCGTTATCATTATTATTAGTTTTATAATTTATTAGTCAATTTTTTTTTATTATTATTTATGTATTTTTTTTTTATTTATTGCCTTTTGTAGCCATTATTGAGCAATAAAATTGCTTTTCAGACCAAATATTATGATTTATTATTTTCTAAGGTACTTAACTGCTTTGCTAATCTAAATTGTAAATGCTTATCTCATAAATCACTCATCTTCAAGTTAATTATGTATTCAAAATAMTTGGGACGAAAATTCCACTTTCAAAGACTTAATTAAAATTAAAAAAATATTAAAAAATACATTTTTCTAAGGTCTTGGAACCGTGTAACAAGATTCTTTTCAAAAAAGTATTATAGAATATTATATAAATTGTAAGTGTTTTGTGATAAATAAATCACATGGAAGTATAATCTACAATATTTTATAACTATAACATGTAAGTATCGAAACTTGATATACCAGGTTCATTGAATATTTACAAATCTAGGTGGGAAAGCCACGTAAAAGGGGGAAACTAAACTGACTTATTTATTGTTTTAAATGTTGTTAACTATATTAATTCTATAAATTAACTCATATTTAGTCTCATACATATCATACAATTCCACTAGGAAATCAAAGATTKTAATAAATAAAAAGTAGGTACTATAGTAACTATAGACATTAGATGACCTGTATAATAAATAAATACTAAAGACTATAGTGCCTATTAAATATTATGATAGAATATAAAGGGACCATTGATGGGGCAGCAATTCATTTTTAATCAATAAATCATGGTAAGTAGGGCATTAATTTTACAATAACGCTCCATAATATTGTATTATATGAGTAGATAACTGGCATATTAATAATTACTATTACTATGGTCTATGACAGTTAGTTTGCCTGGTTTGCCAACACGATAACATATGGTCGGATCCATCCAACTGTGTAAGCTTTCAAGACTTATTAATGTATTATACAGTATAAATCTACACTTTTAAATGGCAGGTGGTCTAAAACAAACAGTTGCGACATTTTAAAAATTTTATAGCACCTATTTGCACATTTATTTTGGTGAAAAACTAGAAATCATAGAAAACTTTTTGAAATTGTTCAACTTTGTTGATAAATAAACGATTTCTCAAATCTTAACTCCTACGTTTTGTCATCTAAATGTAAACCATTATCGCCGGTCATCAACCGACAACCAACCATAAGGCGGAACTAATTTACATTGTAATATAAAGGGTGTCCCGTGAGGATTTACCCATTCCGATATCTCCCGAAATAATGATGATATCGAAATTCTAGTTTTGTAATAAGACTCACAGGGATAAGAACTACAATTATTTCATATTTTAATTTATTTTAATGTTTTGGTAAAAAAGTTAAAAATCTATTTTTTTATTTAATTATTTCAAAAAAAATTAAAGATAGCYATTTTGTTGAGTTTGTTTTTCTGAAAATATTGTCGTTTCAAAATTTTATTTTCATTAATTTCCTGATTTTTAATATTTTTTTTAGTTTCGAGATAAATGGGAATTATTTAACACCGTAATGTTATTAAACATGTGACCCRCCGCGCCGCGCCGCGCGCATTCTAATACGGCCGGCCGAATACTTTCCGTGAACCTAATAGTTATAAATTTTTAATCATATTTTATTTCTTCAAAACTAGAAAAAATATTAAAAATCAGGAAA